CTGATAGTTGCTACCTAGACGTGATGGTGAGGTTGGCACACACCAATGACCGAACGAGCTATCCCAATGAGAACAATTCTTCCTGAAAGTCTTACCACACCAACAAGCCTTGTCGAATACTGACAACACTATAGGTAGTTGACGAGATACTGTAAACAACATTTCGTGTGGTGGAGATTTGAGGGTGAAGTCGAACTCAGTGGACTAAGGTGTTTTCCATAGATGACCAGTGCCTCATGCTGATACCGCCTTCCATGTCGTCAACACTGGTGAGGAAACAATGACTTCAAAATAGAATACTCTTGCCCCATCTACTACCACTCGATGTTGTCGGTATTGGTTTTCCTTGTCTGGTGGTAGAACAATTCGATCACAATCAACAACCTTGAAAACGTCATGAGCTGGTGTGGCTATTCACTTGACCTCATCTCACCAATGTGGCCAATTAACAAAATTCATCTTGTGAGTGTCTGGAAATTTAGTGGCTAGATTGTGTTGACTCACTAGTGTAGGTTTTAGGGAGGGGTTGGGGAAGAAGGTGAACCTTCTGATTGAATATCGACAGAAGTAGAGGAAACCGAGTAACTCTCCGGAATGTCGTGTGAAGTGTCTGCATCAGGAAAGGCGTCTGGATTGTCTGTGACAGAGGCGAGGAGCGAAGGCAAACTTAAACGTATTCTGTCTCAGTCCACTGGAAACTACTGATATTGGATAAAATTGTGTGATCGCCGATACAGAATTTTCATGAAATAGAAAAAGGTGAAGCTACTAAAAAGCTGAGGGTTTCTAACTACTCAAGGTTTTGAGTAGTAGTACCTTCCGCTATTTCATGAAACTGTGTTAAAGGTCAAACCTTATTTTTTTGTCTGTGTGGCTTCCTGTGGAAATACTGTTGACATCACAGTTGGCCGGTTGAAAATCTACAAGGCTCTGGTGAAACATTTGAATGTGGATGGCGCAATTTGTAAATCATTTCGCAGTTGCTAACTCTAATTTAGGTATACTACGTTGTTTAAGTCAGCTATCCAGGTCCAGGCGACTTGACTCGACTTGTTTCTCACATGTGGAATTGTAGAGGTACACTGTTTGGCTCGAAACGATCATAAACGGCACGAAATACATTCACCTTGTTCAATGTAAAGAATTGATTCAATTGGAAGTGTATTCCCAATAATTTTGTGAATGATGCACTAGAACGCAATTAAATTTGATATGTGTTAGTAATTTTCCAACAAATCTAAGAAAGTATGAAAACACTGGAACGGATTTATTAGAAAAATTCTCTTCTGTTTAGATGTTTAATAATCTCCTAGTTACAATGAAATCACTTCAACTGTTGTGTTCAATTTTATGCAAGTAGCACTTGATTGTCATGACGAAGGTATCATATCATATCCACTGATTAGTCAGTCACTGGAGAGTAAACAATTTCTTGTAGTCAACTTCTGAATGTTGATCGAATTCTATTGGTCATATCTGGATTATGACCACCAAGCTAACCGTCATAACATCGAATAGTTAACAAGTCACTTTGGAATAAAATCTCAGGCATAATGATCATTCAGCGTAGCGTGAATTTTTCTACTAACTATCATCTTGTGTAAACTAATAAGTAAAGTTTATTCAAAGTGGAACTTTTAACACTTCGATTGGTGTATATCTTGAGTCATTTTCTTCTTCTAGGATCAAATTATAGTTCATTTTAATTCTTTTCAAACTAACTTTTTGTTTTATATGATGTTGCTTGAATTATCTCATAGTTGATTCGACCTAATTGATTGGTCTTTTAGTGGAAGCAACATTGATCACTAGAAGGTTGGAATATCCAGCTGACGAATCCTACAGAGGACGAAACGCATGTCCTAAGTTTCACTGCTACCTTCTATCTGTCATTAATAACATTTTTTGTTTTGTTGAAACTTAACTATTAATCATCAAACACTAATTAGTTATTATGATGATACATAGTGAGAAATATTACCATCAATTAAGACATACAATTATTTCTATCAGGAACTGATTGTTAAGATTTTCATAATTATAGAATAGAATTATCATTTTACTGTTAGAACATCACTGTACAAGAACATCAATGACTTAGTTACTAGGATACATACTTTAAAAATATGATCACTTACACCAGTTTCATGGTGTATTTTTGAGTAATACGCCTAAATAAAGTATAAATCAAGTGTCCTTGAATTCAATTAGCCTAGTAATGAAACTTTCATGTATAAACATGAAATTTGCATAAGAAGACGGAGGTCATGTGAGAAATGTTTAGTGGATTTGCACAATACATTTCTAACAATCCAATCATACATCATTTTATATGAAATATGAAAATAGTATGGGGTAAAATTATTAAGAAAATACAACATTTTGAAAATATAGTGATAATAAGGAGGAATCATGGATTGTTGTTAACACCCTTCTTCGCATTAAAATCAGATAAAGATTACCAAGGTTGAAGGTAAGTACAAATTGTTTGAGAATACAAGAAGAAGGTTTAGACTTCAATGAACCAAGTATACAGTCTTGACTGCTCCTATACAATGGTTTAAAAGGTTGTTTTGAGGTCATTCCTGTGACCTATTTATAATATTATGCTTACATATATTGAGGATAATGTCTATCTGCCTTCTGTATTAATCAGATAAAATCAATGTGATTGCTTTTCTAGCTATTAAGGATATGCTCTGCCAGCCTCGACTTCATAGTTTGATTCCTCATCCCAATGTATATATCACCGCATATATACATGTAAATTGGTATACACAGTGGGATGTGACATAATCATCTATGAAATGATGAAGCTGATTTTGAGGAGAAGGTTTCATTTTCTCGATAATATTAAGCTTGACTGCATAATATATCTTTTTAATAACCATTCAACTCAGAGAACACAATACTGCCAAAATCAGTTAAATTCTTGAATTGTTTGCTAAGCAATCTGATTAACATTTTATCTAAGATCTAAAGTACTTGTCTAACATCTCAGTGAATCTCGACGACAACAAACTATTATACTTTCAAACGCTAATGGTTATAAATACCGAACGATATAATACGCACGCTTAGCTAACAGCTAACGCAAGAGCCACTAACTGCAACCCCGGAAAGAATACAGAGAAACCCGAAGCTGGCAGACGGGAGAGTTTATTACTAAAACGTTCATTGTCCAGCGTTTTAAAACAATAACAATCAATCCAAAACACGTGAATAAGTATATACATGAAATGATCTTGTCCGCGATTGATGTGGAAATGAATAACACGTTAAAATGTTCAGATCAATAACAATGTTTTATACAAAACTGACGTATCACAACACAAACCTGATAGAACTGGGCAGGTTTCGGACTTGGGTGAGGATGCATTGATCAAATATTCACTGTTCCACATGTTTTCAACTGCAGGCATACTTAATTGGTGTTCGAAACTTGTCAGAATTTTTTATCTGGAAACACAACTCTATTCCGTCGATAAACCAACTAGCGAACATATGACTCCTTGAATACAATTTATTTTATCATATCCAAGTATCATGATTATGAGCAGTATATTGTTGTCAGATGTCATCCAATAAATACTATGATATCATTCAGTTACAATCAACACATGACGTGACAGTACTTTGCAATACTTCATCACTGAGTACTTTATCAAATTGTTTGATATGGAATCCTACATCAACAAGGTGCCTCACACTAACTCCTACAACAGAGAACTTCTCTGATGATTTCTTCCCTTTTTTGTGTTACATTTGCGATTTTCCGCTTCATAGTGTAATGTTACGCTGTGTATCTCTTAAAATAAACTAACCAGTAAGTGGCAAGTTATCAAACTAGCGCGTCATATGGACATTCTGATGATCCATTACAAAGGATTAGAACAGTAAACTGGGTAATAATGACTAAAAGTCATGCTTATTATAAGCGTTAAGTCCATTTTCATCATCAATATCAACAAAGAACCAGACATTACTCCGTAACGATCTAACTTACTACACCTCAAATCGGCGCAACAAGTATAACAAAGCAATAAGGTGAAAGAGGAAGAGCGGAAAAAAAATGTCAGAAACAGTAGAAGACTGTAAAAGACACGAAGCGCCGATCACGAACAACGGGAGAAACCTAAAGGAAGTAGACTCCTTCACCTACCTAGGCGGCATCGTTTCTACTACAAGCGGCACAGGCACAGAAGACGACGTCAAAACCACCCAGGATCGGAAAAACAACAACACAAGCGTTCACTAGTGTGGTGATCTACTGCACTCAGCATGTGAAACAAGATCCGAATTTTCAACGTTGTCAGTCCTTCTATATGGTTGAGAGACTTGGTGCATTACGAAAGGGATTCCCAACAAACTACAGACGTTCATCAACAACTGCCTACGCTGGCTCATCACTCAAGCTCAGCTCAGATGACCAGAATAATCAGAATAAGCTACAAGGGACTCTGGTCGGGCAACGAACCAACGAAGCAACAACCTATCGCTGAACAAATATGCAGTGCAGATGAATTGGGCATACACTGAGAAGGCCGACTGGGAACATCACGCGTCAGGCCAGTTGGTCGAGTGGAACTCAGATGGGAAGTGACGAGTTGGTCGTCGGAGGCGAGGGTGACATGGAGGACATCGTGTGAGGAAGAAATGAAAGCTTCTGGGCTTACGTAGAGCCAGGTTCAAAAGATTTCAGAGAAGAGAGTGAAATGAAGACATGCTACTGAAGACCTATGTTCCACTAGGAACCCAAAGGACAAATACATCTGCACCACTGATATCATTTCTCAGCCATATCACCTAATCTCCAATCACTAGTTGTTACACGGACCCTAACCGCTTAGCCTGCATCATCCTACATGGCTCAAACAAACAGTCAAGCACTTAATCCACTGATGCACTAGGCACCTCCAGCTTTTTTCCCGTTTGAATCCACCTGAGCTAACATTTCGCGCCGAGGTGACTAAGCATGCGTAACACATATCCCAGCCTTGTCAATCTATGAAAGTTTATTGTTACAAGGTTTTGGTCATAAGAAGAAAAGATTGAAAACACTTTACGCTTAAAAGTTTGATAGTTCCAAAAAAAACACCTAAAAAGCAAATAAAAACCAATATTTAGAAAAAGTAATAGGACTATCAGAAATAGGTTAAGAATAAACATAACAATTAAAAAAAAAGTATAATTAATGGTTTATTGTTCTTAGAAAGTAGTAGTATGCACTCAATTTGAGGGGGGGGGGGGGGGGGAATTAGTTAACTTATGAAATAGTGAAATATTACTGTAACACAAGCTAATAAATGCATTACAGATATATAGAGACATATAGAATAAAAACTCCATAGTTGAGTAGAAAAATGATATACAACTGCTAGAATAAAACGTGATAACCACCAGGTAAAGAAGTACTCGAAAAGAAAGTATTGATTATAAATTATTTGTTGTGTACTTCTATACATCAATATAATATAAGGTAGTTGTGCCCAACCAAAAGAATAAGCACCAGACAAAATAATCAATAAGATATTCAATTTTGTTGATGGTAATAAAATTCTTGGATCAACAGAAGACTAGAAAAGTAAAAGAAAAAAATAAATATACACGAATAAATAATAATTATGTTGCTTGAATAATATAAGTGAAATAATAATAATAATAATGATAAAATTAGACCTCAATTTCATCGACTTTGAAAACGTCGACCAAAAAGTAATTTGTCAGACAGCTGCTTCAACACAACACAATACCACAAACGATTATCAGCCTCATTCAACAACTATTCGAAGACGCCATGTGCCAAGTAATTCACAATGGGAAGATCAGTGATACCTTTAAAGGGAAGACAGGCAGGAGTAAAACAAGGCTGCCTACTATGAACGATCATCTTCCTGATTGTAGTCGACTGGATCATGCAACAAACAGTGAGGAGCAAGAAGAGGAGGATACGCTGGACTGATGAAAAGAACCTAGAAGATTTGCATTTCGCCAATGATGACTTGTGTCTAATATCACACAAATTTGAAGATCTACAGGCAAAAACTAACAAGTTGACAGAAGAGGCAGGGCAGGGCAGGGCAGGAGAGGGGAGGGCAGCGAAGACGGGACTTCCTTCAGGTGAACGTAGAGAAGACAGAGGTGATAAAGATACCAACTTAAAGGAAGTAGCCTCCTTCACCTATATATCTAGGCTGCACTGTTTAAACTACAGGTGTCACAGGCACAGAAGACGACGTCAAAACCACCCAGGATCGGAAAGACAGCAAGACAGGCCTTCATTAGTCTGAAACCAGTGTGGAGATCTTCTGCACTGCACTCAGCACTAAGTCAGTCAAGTCAGTGCTTCTATGTGATGGTTGAGAGACTTGGTGCATTACGAAAGGGATTTCCAAAAAACTACAGACATTCATCAACAACTGCCTACGCTGGCTCGTTACTGAAGCTCAGGTCAGATGGCCGCAATGGTGAGAATAAGCTACAAGGAACTCTGGCTTGCTGGCGACGAATCAACGAAGCAACAACCTATCGCTGAACAAATATGTAGTGGAAGGAAGTGGAGATTGATTGGGCATACACTGAGAAGGCCGTCTGGGGACATCACGCGTCAGGCCAGTTGGTCGAGTGGAACCCCGATGGGAAGCGATGAGTTGGTTGTCTGAGGTGTGGGTGACATGGAGGACATCGTGTGAGGAAGAAATGAGAACTTGTTGACAGTCGTGAAGCCAGGTTGGAAAGACTGGAGAGAAGAGAGTGGAACGGAGACGTGCTACTGAAGACCTATGTTCCACTAGGAATCCAAGGGACAAATAATAATGATAACTATACAGTTTATTCACTATGATATGACACTTGTTTCCCAAGAAGTTTGTCGGTGTACGTAGACACAAGTAGTTCAATTTTGCTTTTGTTTTAAGGTGATACCATGTAGATTCGTATCGCTGATTAAACAGGATCAATCAGTGAAACGCTAGAGTGTTATCCTCGAGGCTGTTAGATCAAGATAGCCTTTCATTGTACGGTGAGTGTAGTTTTGATGCTAAAGCTTTTAATTTCACGTCGTTGACTGAGCTTGATCAGTCGACCACTGTTGACTTATGGTCTTCTTAGCAAGTTCATGTATATATCCCCGGTAACAAGGTAACATCAAAACTCTACTCATCATACGAGTTGAGTATCATAATAACACTCTGACATTCGAAGTGTGACAGGTCCTGAGCCTGATTCCAACTGGGATTAGCATCACTCACTGGAAAGTCGGTGAATCAAGCTGACAAGTCCCAGATAAGACGTAACGCACACACCCTGGATTACACTTCTTGCCACTCTCAATCACCGCTTTCTATTTGTTTAGCAGAAGATTAGTTACTTAGTTCACGTTCACTTCGATGAAGACGGTAGAAAACTATACATGCATAAACACACCATTATGCTATTTTTTTTTCTTCCAATCTTTAATGTAGCAGATAATGATAAAATAGTATGTGATGAATTCTGTCCACAGTCTTCATAATCTATCATGAAGTAGAGAAATAAGGGCTTGATTGACCAAGTCAAATGCATCATACAGTTTCATATGGTATTTAAATCCTTCCGTCTATCAAATAGGTGTCTATGACAGTTATCAAAATTTCTCTCGCCACTTTATTCCTTTTATGGAATTGAGATAGAACACTATTGAACTCGTGCGAAAAACTGTTTCACAGTATAAAATCAGTGTAGTGTTTGTTTCTGGGTAATAACTGCTCTTTAAAACAAGTATCTTGAATGCTAACACAGCCTTAAAAGACAAGAAGATTATGTCTAAAGATTTATATTCATTGTTTCTGCCTATTGAATATTAAACATAGTGTCTGCTGTAATGTCAGGTATCCTACTTCAATGACCATTTCGAAAATATTATAGGAAGGATTTAATTCGAACCTGAGATTTGACACCATAGTGTCTCATGGATGAAATATATTTGTTAAATCTCAGTGAGGTAGAAAAAAATATTTCTGACTTTTTGCGACTTCATGTGAACAACCTCAAGTGATTTGTTCTCATTTATTACTATTTAAACATTTGATAACCTGTATACCCAAACAATAACAACGAGAACTAATCACCATCAACGGAGAGACGTAAAGGAAGTAATATCATTCACCTACCTAGGCAGCATCGTTTCAACTACACGTGGCACACGCACAGATGAGAACGTCAAAGACAGTCAGGATCGGAAAGACATCTAGACAACACTTCATTAACCTGAAACTATTGTGGAGATCTACTGCACTGCACTCCACTCCACTCCAATGCACTTCACTGCACTCCACTCAGCGTAAAGCGTGAACAAAATCCGGATTTTCAACACTTAGTCAGTCAAGTCAATGCTTTTATGTGGTGCTTCAGAAACTTAGCGCGTTTACGAAAAGCATTTCCAACAAACTGCAGACATACATAAACAACAGCTGCCACCTACGCTCACTCGATAGTCAAGATCAGATCAGATGGCCAGAATAAAGAGAATGAGGAAGGAGGAATTCTGGCTAGCTGGCAACCAACCAACCAAGAATCCATCGCCCAACAAATATGCAGTGGAAGGAAGTGGAGATGGATTGAAGTGGACATACACACTGAGAAGACCGATTGGGGATGTGATGTGTCAGGCCAGGTCAGGCAGTCGAGTGGAAGTCGGATGAGATGTGACGATTTGGGCATGCGAGGCGAGGGTGATATTGAGACGATTGTGTGAGAAAGAAATGAGAGCTTCTTGGCAGACGTGGAGCCAGGTTGAGAAGACTGGAGTGAAAATGGTGACATGCTACTGAAGCCCTATGTTCCACTAGGAACCCAAGAGAAAAATAATAAAATAAGAGGTTATAATCCTTGGAGAGGTCTATAGTATCATGATGTCTATCATTCTTCAGTCTTATTCAGTGGCATTTAGGTATTCTATCCATCCATCCCTAATAGCATGACAGAATTCAAAGTCTAATTAGTATAATTATTATTTGTCCCTTGGATTCCTAGTGGAACATAGGTCTTCAGTAGCACGTCTCCGCTCCACTCTCTTCTCTCCAGTCTTTCCAACCTGGCTTCACGACTGTCAACAAGTTCTCATTTCTTCCTCACACGATGTCCTCCATGTCACCCACACCTCAGACAACCAACTCATCGCTTCCCATCGGGGTTCCACTCGACCAACTGGCCTGACGCGTGATGTCCCCAGACGGTCTTCTCAGTGTATGCCCAATCCATCTCCACTTCCTTCCACTACATATTTGTTCAGCGATAGGTTGTTGCTTCGTTGATTCGTTGCCAGCAAGCCAGAGTTCCTTGTAGCTTATTCTCACCATTCCGGCCATCTGAGCTGAGCTTCAGTAAGGAGCCAGCGTAGGCAGTTGTTGATGAATGTTTGTAGTTTTTTGGAAATCCCTTTCGTAACGCACCAAGTCTCTCAACCATCACATAGAAGCACTGACTTGACTGACTTAGTGATGAAAATCCGGATTTTGTTCATGCTTCATGCTGAGTGCAGTGCAGAAGATCTCCACACTGGTTTCAGACTAATGAAGGCCTGTCTTGCTGTCTTTCCGATCCTGGGTGGTTTTGACATCCTCGTCTGTGCCACGTGTAGTTGAAACAGTGCTGCCTAGATAGGTGCAGGTGAAGGAGGCTACTTTCTCTAAGTTTCTCTCGTTGATCGTGATTGGAGCTGGTTGTTGTTGGTGATGGTGTTGGTTGGGTTTCTTCATCACCTATGTCTTCTCTACGTTCACCTGAAGGAAGTTCCGTCTTCGCTGCCCTCCCCTCTCCTGCCCTGCCCTGCCCTGCCTCTTCTGTCAACTTGTTAGTTTTCGCCCGTAGATCTTCAAGTTTGTGTGATATCAGACACAATTCATCATTGGCGAAATGCAAATCTTCTAGGTTCTTTTCATCAGTCCAGCATATCCTCCTCTTCTCGCTCCTCACTGTTTGTTGCATGATGCAGTCGACCAGAATCAGGAAGATGATCGGTGATAGTAGGCAGCCTTGTTTTACTCCTGCCTGTGTTCACTTTAAAGGTATCACTGAGCTTCCCATTGTGAATTACTTGGCATATGCGTTTTCACATAGCATACTTTTAGTATAGGAAAAAGTAATTTATCTGTGCTATGTGCTAAAAAACATGGCGGTAAAAGGTATAATCAAAGTGTATTCTTCACCAGATACATACAATACTGCAAAAAATAAAACACACAACACATTGATGAAAATTTGGACCAAGGTCGAATTCGAACCAGCGACCATAGGGTTTCCGACCCAACGTTCTACTGATTGAGCTGACCACGGGTCAAATTTTCATTTCACCTTGAATTATTACCCATTATCAATACTAATTTGTAAAACTACAGCTATCTCAGATAGTTAAAATGATCGTTTCACTTACAATTTTCTGTATATAGATTATCCAAAACACCATAGCTGATAAAACAGCACTAATCAATAAATTCCATGTACCATATATAATATGAGCAAAATGTACAGCGATTCCTAAGAATATGTTTAATAGTAAAATTATATTTAGATGACATAAAAAGGTATTAGTAGCTAAAGTTGAGCACATATATTGTGCATTGTTAAGCAGAAAATCTGGTCCAAGATATGCTTGGAAAAATGACAGTAATAGAAGTACTTTTGAACATTTAAGTGAATTAAATTTCTTTGCCGTATGATCCATAGCCATCTAGAAAAAGAAATTGGAATAAATTAGCGCTTAGTTAACTAGAATAAATTTGACTTTACTGACAAAAAAAAGATTATTATTGCATCAAATTGAACAAGTAAATCCATCCAGATCAACAGAAGACTAGGCATTACTGTGTAACGATCCGAGTTGCCACACCTCATATCAGTGAGGCGCAAGATGAAGATAAGAGAAGGCAGTCAGAAGAAATATAAAGTACGAAAAGAGAAAAATGTCGGATGAGAAAATGGTAAGGTTCGGTATAGTGTAGTTAAGATGACAAGAATGTATGTATACATCTGCGCCACTGACATCGGTTCTCAGCCATGTGATCACCTAGAGTCTTCAACCACTGGTTCTTCTTGTCCCACAGACCCCAACCACCTAGTCTGCATCGCCCCACATGGCATAAACCAACAGTCAGAAACTTCATACATTGGTGCCATGTTTTAGTCTGACCACCTCTAGCCTTTTTCCAGAGTAAACTTACTTCGGCCACCACTGTGTGACAAGGCAATCGACGACTAGGCATACATAGTACGTGTCCCAAACATCTCAGTCAATAAAGGTTCATAACCTCGTCAACCGATTTACCTTTACTCCCTAAAACTTTATACCTGACATCTGCGTTACTCATGTGGTGAAACCATGGAATACAGCCTATACTACCAAGGCAACGGTGATCAAACACCTCAAGCCTCTCATGTCTTCCACCTTTAACGGCCATGTTTCACAACTATACAGTAGAACAGAGTGGACTGCTGTGCAGTATACGTGACCTTAGTAGACAATCGAACATCACGGCGGCGCCACATGTAGCGGAAGTTGGTAAAAGCCAACCGAGCCTTTTGTATCTGTGCAGAGATTTCACCAACCATTGAGCCATCAGAGCTGATCCTACTTCCCATATGAATGAAGTGGTCGACACACTCAACCACTTCACTCTCTATTGTTAGCCGTGGCACCGTTGAAGACCGATCGTGGAGCAACAATTTGCATTTGGGTGGTGAGAAACGCATCCCAAACATTCTCAAATTGCTACTCAAAGTACTCAGAAGACTCTGCATGTTGTCGGAGTCTTCACCTAACAGGACAATGTCATCTGCATATTCCAGGTCTAACAAAAATTCTCCACCGATTAGGTGACGAGAGGGAAACCTCTATGAGAATATCTATGATCAAATTGAATGAGAATGGAGAGAGTGGGCACCCTTGACGGACACCACTTGATGAGTACAGCTCACCTGATATCTCACCATAGGCTCTAACACGCCCGCAAGTGTTCGAACAAGTACAGCTAGTAACTAGTCAAAAATACATTATTGAATATTGTTATGATAGAACCAGAGGCAAGTGTATATTCAACTTTTTAGTTTGCTCATACTTTTTGAAACCATTTCGAAGAGAAGAAGTATATTTAACAGATAAACAATCATATATGATAACGAAAAAAGCTATTCAACTAAGAGAAATCACCACTTTCCCTTCTGTAGGCATAGTTGAGTCAACTATGTATCAACGATTTCACTTAACAGTTTTGTTGTTGCCATTTAGTTATACATTACGGATAAACTAAATTTCTATAAATGAAAGTTCATAACCTAAATCTCAGTGATAAGACTATTCATCTTGAACTGATGTTCTCAAAATGAATGCTTAATGAGTTTTTAGAAACAATATAACCATATTGTAATGTAAATGTATTAGTCTGTACTTTAATAGTCTTTGAAACAAGCCGTAAACACTGTATACCATATGATGACCTTGACAACAATTACATCTGATGAAGAATGAAATAATGACTTTTAATTTAATCAGTCTCTAGACTACTTGGCAACACATTTATTTATTGATACTTATGAAATCCATCGTAAATATTCTCGATCGAACTGATCGACTTTCTTTGACATATTGGTGATTGTATAGAAGCCCTGATATTGCCTGATTATTCATTAAATTGTAATTTGTTGTCGGTGGTTAGCAGTGGAATCCAGGATGCGCATTTTACTCTGTTTAAAACTCGTCAACTGGCTATATCTGCAGCCAAGTTAGTGATGGTGTTCCCATTGAGACCTAGCCCCTCTAGTACCCTTTTTCTTCGAATATCTAGTGGATAACACTTTTGGTATTTGAATATACGGCTGTTGGGCTAAAGTTCTAGTGAGAACACCATCACTCACTGAAGTGCAGGTATTCCCATCTGACTAGTCACACATATGACGAAACTTGTATCCCTGATACTACTGATAACTACCAACAAGTAGCGTTTTTTTTTAAATTTGAACCTAAGGCTGGTTCGACAACATTTCCGAAAGCTTATCGTGACCAGTTGGTAAGGAAGTGAATGTTCAATAAAGGAAGAGCAAGAACATATAGATAGAAGGAAGATCAGAGGCGATGGAGTTTATATGCCCAACCTATAGGCTTAACAAGAGTCTTTTTGTTTATACTTGTCAATGCATGGATTACACAGAAATGTTTCTATTTGCAACTAAATTCACATTGATTATTCAGTATATGTGGTGATAAAATGGCGTGGACATTCAAACTATATTGGTCATTCCAATATGGACAAAAATTACGAGGATTATTGTATTCATTGTAAATATATGTTCATGAGCTTATTATCCACCTATCAATTCATGGTTTCCCTGAGTTTTGGATTAGTTGTGAATACTTTAAACATAATTCTTTCGCTTCATTAATAAACTTTGATGATCGAGTCCCTATCATTACAAACTGTAAATCTTCTATGCAATGGTTCCATAGAAGAAAAAAAACTCAGCAGAGCTGCCTAGCTTACTTTGAATCGATTACTTTAAAGTGCATACCCGGTAGAACATTAAAAGATGTACACAATAGTAAGAATTTGGTTTGAACATTCAAAGAAAACATTCCATAACCGAAATAAATGTATTCTATGCATTCAGATCGCATGAAAAATGTGGATAGGGTAAGATAGAAGAAATTTCCAGAAAAAAATGATGTCAAAACAAATACTCTTCAACTGCATACAAGCTATAAGAGCAATGCATTCCTATGCATAGGATAATTTGAAATTAGAAAATCAGGAATCTTGAAATGTATAACAAACCTGTAACAGAATTACTAATTGTACAGAGAACGAAGTAATGTAACAAAGTAATAGTAATAACAAATAAATAAATAGTTATGCAATCGAAATAAAATAGCATCAAATCATATTCATCAAAGGATGAAAGACTAACCACTCTCCCTCTGAATGCAAAGGTCAGGTTGGAAGCGTTGTATTGCATTCACTTCGTGGAACGCAGTAGTAATCCACACATTCTCTATACGTCAGTTAATATTTTAAAAGCATTCCAGGTTTCTACCTGATATCCTGTATCTATGGAATGTCTAGCAATTGAATTGGTTAGAATTTCACCCCTTTTCAATCACACGTTTTGGAGATATACTCAGCGCGAACCGAATGGACACTCTACTCTCAGTCTTTCCAATGTACTTGCTACTTACAAGTGCATGTTTATTCATAAATACAATGAGAATTTATCCAATTTGACTAGTTTAGTGAGCATATGATTAGGCTTCAGGAAAGCTCCTCCTCAGAAATCCTCTGATTTGTACGTCTATTCACCTGGTTGTTGTATCTCCCTTGAATGTTGGGTGTATAAAAACCTTCTTCATTTCCACAACTGGGTGTTCATTCTTCTTGATCTTTTCTTTTCTGTACTTCCTAATGAATCCCTTTGGATATTGATTGTGCCACAAAGACTTCTCAATAAAATCTAGTTGTTCTCTGTATTTTCCGCAGAACATAATTTCCTATATGTCTTTTCTACGGATAGTCTTTTCAATCTTATCATCAGTTCTTTTTCTCACACTGAGGTCCCAAAAAAAATGAAGTCTTTTTGATGCTTCACCACCAGATTCCCAGGTTTCCATTGTTCCTCTAAGTGATGTAAGTCTATGGTGAATATCAACTTGAAATGTTTCTAAATCCCCACTATCTCCTCGAAATTCAATTGAACTGGTGGTCATTGGTGACTAGCTTCGAGAGGTGATTCGCCAAGTTCCAATGAGAAGTTGTGACCAGTGCGGCTAGGCCTGATGGTTGTGGGGACATTTACTCAACTATGACATTGGGTTGTGAACTAACAGAAGTTGGAAATAAGGACCATTGGATTTCGACCCAGTGGCTCAATGATAACGTGATAGCCATGGAATCCGAAGGTCTCGGGTTCGATCCTTGGCGGGGTCATGGTTGCGCACTGCTGAAGAGTCCAATACTAGGACAAAACAGCTGTCCAGTGCTCCCAGGTTTCCTTTATTCCTCCAACTGACGTCAGTCTACGATTAAAATATTTTTAAATCCCTGCAAATTTCATCCATTTTTCAAGTTGTTATTCATCGAAGACTGACATCAGTTGGAGGAACAAAGGAAACCTGGGAGCACTAGACAGCTGTTTCGTCCGACTAGTATGGGACTCCTCAGCAGTGCGCACCCACGACCCCACCAGCAGGGACCGAACCCGCGACCTTCAGGTTCCGCGACCAGCGCATTACCATTGAGCCACTGGGTCAGAATCCAATGCTCCATTTTGCTTAATACAGATTTACAATATAAACGTATAATAATACAATTCAAAAAATATGACTCACCTGTTCATCATTCGAATGTTGAACATTGAAATAATCTTTTACATTCAACAAAACATGAAGGTTTAAACTAATAATGAAACCAAAAATTGAAAATAATAAACAAAACCAAGAATTTAATATCCAACTAAAAACTACAGTTAGTAGAAAAGAGATTCCAACAGAAAAATTTATCATAAAACATGGAAAACTATAAGCTGTATACTTCCAACGTGAAGGTAATATAGTATGAAATATAATTGGTAAAATATTAAAACTTATTCCAACATATAATCCTATAAAAAAGTGTCCAATAAACAAACAGATTAAAAATATTATCTCTTCATTCTCATATACTTCAATAAGACACATTAAAGACCATCCAATTATAGAAGATATATACATTAAATATACACTCCATTCATATGTATATTTATGTAATGTATAATTATAAATGATATTGCCAAAGAAACCACCAGTAATGAATACTATGTTGAATAATAATGATATGAATGGATCCAGATATAATTGATAGGAAATAACCGATGAAAAATATAATCCAAAACCTATTGAGAAAATTGATATTGAAAAAAAAAATTATTATTTGATAAACAAAATTGTATTGAATAAATTATGAGTAGTGAATACTCTGAGTTAATTTTATTGTAAGCACTAATAAAAGTATGAATGATTTGAATAGAATAACGAAATAAAAACTTGACTACCTGGATTCTTGTGTACATTATTATTTATCCCTTCGGTTCCTAGTAGAACATAGGTCTTCAGTAGCACGTCTCCATTCCAATCTCTTATCTCCAATCTTTCCAACCTGGCTTCACGACTGCCAACAAGTTCTCATTTCTTCCTCACACCATCTCCTCCATGTCACCCTCGCCTCCGACGACCAACTCGTCACTTCCCATCTGAGTTCCACTCGACCAACTGGCCTGACGCGTGATGTCCCCAGTCGGCCTTCTCAGTGTATGCCCAATCAATCTCCACTTCCTTCCATTGCATATTTGTTCAGCGATAGGTTCTTGCTTCGTTGGTTCGTTGCCAGCTAGCCAGCCAGCCAGAGTTCCTAGTTGCTTATTCTCATCATTCTGGCCATCTGAGCTGAGCTTGAGTAACGAGCCAGCGTAGGCAGTTGTTGATGAATGTCTGTAGTTTTTTGGAAATCCCTTTCGTAACGCGCCAAGTCTTTCAACCATACAGAAGCCCTGACTTGACGTTGTAGTTGGAATGATGCTGCCTAGATAGGTGAAAGAGGCTACTTCCTTCAAGTTTCTTCCGTTTATGGTGATCGGAGCTTGTTGTTGTCTGTGGTGGCGGTGTTGGTTGGGCATCTTCATCATTTCTGTCATCTCCACGTTCACTTGAAGTCCTGTCTTCGCTGCTTCTTCTGTCAACTTGTTAGTTTTCGCTTGTAGATCTTCAAGTTTGTGTGATATTAGATACAAGTCATCCATGTGTACATTAGTTAATAAATTTAATTAGGTATTTAGTTCAAAGGCATGTGGAAACCCTTCGTCTGTTAAGATTACCACTACCATACTTTAAGGTTCACAATTAATAGTGAACTAATAGTCGATGTGATTCACCGAAGGCACAGACAGACAAATCGATTTAAAACACTGTACAAAAGAGTATGAAACTCAAGTTGCCACACTTTACGACAGTATAACTTATAGTAAATGGCTATAAATACAAGTATATAATACTCGGTGATGATTGAAGGTGAAATGAGAATTTGGACTACGGTCGGATGATTCAAACCAACCACCATCGTGTTTCCTGCCCTACGCTCTACCAACTGAGAGCTCGAGAACCCACTACTGACCAGCCTTTTATTTCACTTCATTACCATGTGAATTCGTAACGTCTTACAACAGCTTGTTCGTATTTACATTGACTGCCTAGCCAAGACTTTATGGGCTAGTGTGACCACCCTGAACCCTATTCCAGTGAGTTCAAGTCACTTCAGTCACTGAAGTTCTACAACCTAATCAGTTGACTTGAGTATCCTTCCTAGTACTCTTGGCTGTACGTTATTCGAAACACGTTATATTTGTGTAAGTCATAGTCTGTGTTTAACATAAAATAATTCTACTGTTTCCTACTACAGTCAAGTCAAAGCTTCTTCAAGGAAAGATCGAAATAAAACATAAATCATAGTCAAGCAAAACCCATGGTGATTGAAGTGAAATAAAGGTATGGTCAGTAGTCGGATGTCGTAGATCATCGGGTTGGAAACCCGGTGGTCGCTGGTTCGAATCAGGCTGAGGTCCAAATGTTCATTTCACCGTCAATCATCATCCATTATGAGTACTAATCAGCCAGACTACAGCTATCTCAGACAGTCAAATGTGGTTTGACTTATCATATCTCAAATCAGGATTTAAAGATGTATGACAACCAGATGGAATGCAAAGTAAAGAAATAACCTAGTCAAAAGTAGGAGAAAGACAAAAAAAATATGAATAAAATGAGCTTGGAGTAAGAACTAAGTTGTAATAAAACGGTTAAGATTATGTGTGAACACACTTTTCACTATGATCAATTTTGAGGTGAGTGTTATCTACAGTTTGAAACATCTCATTTCGATTGTCATGTAGACTTAAATTGGAGAATCTAGGTTAATCTGTACGTGTCAAACCAACCTTTATTATTATTATTATTAGTCCCTTGGGTTCCTAGTGGAACATAGGGATTCAGTAGCACGTCTCCAGTGAACTCTGTTCTCTGAGATCTTTTGAACCTGGCTCCACGACAGCCCACAAGCTCTCATTTCTTCCTCACACAACCTCCCCCATGTCACCCTCGGACGTCCAACTCGTCGCTTCCCATGGGGATTCCACTCGAGTGACTGGTCTGACGCGTGATGTCCTCAGTCAGTCTTCTCAGTGTATGCTCAATACATCTCCACTTCCTCCTGCATATTTGTTGGGTGATAGGTTCTTGGTTTGTTCGTTCCCAGAGCTCCTTGTTGATTATTCTTTCTGGCAATCCATCTGATCTTCAGTAGCGAGCGTAAGCAGTTGTTGATGAATGTCTGTAGTTTATTGGAAATCCCTTTCGTGACGCGCCAAGTCTCTCAACCATCACACAGAAGCACTGACTTGACGTTGGTGTTGAAAATCTGTATCTTGTTCCGCATGCTGAGTGCAGAAGATCTCCACACTGGTTTCAGGCTAATGAACACCTGTCTTGCTTTTCCGATTCTGACTTTGACATCCTCGTCTGTCCCACCTGTAGTTGAAACAGTGCTTCCTAGATAAGTGAAGGAGGTTACTTCCTTTAAGTTTCTCCCGCTGATGGTAATTGGAGTTTGTTGTTGTTGTCGGTGGTGGTGGTGCGGTATCTTCATCACCTCTGTCTTCTCTATATTCGCTTGAAGTCCCGTCTTCGCTGCCTCTTCTACCAACTTGTTAGTTTTTGCCTGCAGATCTTCAAGTTTATGTGACATCAGGCACAAGTCATCGGCGAAATCCAAGTCTTCTAGGTTCTTTTCCGCAGAACCAACCTTTATGAATTGATTCAATATTTTAATCTAGCCACCTTAATCATATTTCCAGATTAACTTTACTTGAGTCAATATTGTGCATCGAAGTAAACGATAAGTTGATATGCACAACACATAATCTAGTTGATTACAACTTACAGCCCTATTAACTCATTTTAACTGAAACTCTCTGATTAACTTCTATGTCCCTTATATGGTAGTCTTTCTATATAGAGCTAATATCATAGAGATGACAGTGACCAAACACCCTTGGAGCTATTTCGTGTTTCTCAACTATAATGTAGGAAAATGAGTTATGTTGTGTAGTACATTCTACAAATAATCAGCAGTCAGATATTTTGCTTACGCTACAAATAATGTAATAAGGTAACAGTTAACCAATATTTCTTATTCATCTGAAGATTTAGTTGATTCATAAGAGCTGACAGTGTTATCAAATAAGCGAGATGTTTATCGCATCCAACTACTTAACTTCCGGTTATTGAATAAGGTATCAATGCAGATCAGCTTGAGGCATTTGAAAGAAAAGAAATACATTCCGGAAATTATAAATACGTCAATCAGCCTCATGAGAACACCCATTATCAAGTCCTCATTATTATTCGCCTCTTCGGTTCCTATTGGAATATACGGCTTCAGTAGCATGCCACTATTCCACTCTCTTCTCTCCAGTCTTCTCAACCTGGCTCCACAACAGCCTGCCACAAAACTTTCATTACCTCCTCACACCATCTCCTCCATGTCAATCTCGCCTCGGACGCCCAACTCGTCACATCCCATCCGACTTCCACTCGATGGCCTGACCTGACCTGGTCTGGCACATCACATCCCCAATCGGTTTTCTCAGTGTGTATGTCCACTTCAATCCATCTCCACTTTCTTCTTCTTCATTTTTGTTGGGCCATGGATTCTTGGTTGGTTGGTTGCCAGCTAGCCAGAGTTCCTCCTTCCTCATTCTCTTTATTCTGGCCATCTGATCTGATCTGATCTGATCTTGACTATCGAGTGAGCGTAGGTGGCAGCTGTTGTTCATGTATGTCTGCAGTTTGTTGGAAATGCTTTTCGTAAACACGCCAAGTTTCTGAAGCACCACATAAAAGCATTGACTTGACTGACTAAGTGTTGAAAATCCGGATTTTGTTCAGGCTTTATGCTGAGTGGAGTGCAGTGAAGTGCATTGGAGTGCAGTGCAGTGCAGTGCAGTGCAGTGCAGTGCAGTAGATCTCCACAATGGTTTCAGGTTAATGAAGGGTTGTCTAGATGTCTTTCCGATCCTGACTGTCTTTGACGTTCTCATCTGTGCGTGTGCCACCTGTAGTTGAAACGATGCTGCCTAGGTAGGTGAAAGACATTACTTCCCTTAGATTTTTCCCGAAATTGATATTACGCGTGAATGGTCCAAAGGGGCTAATGTGATTCTTGTGAGGAAATCAATACTTATAATGTGAATCGAGAGGGAGGCATCAGTAAGCCAGATTATGAAAAACTAAAATAAGGACAAGTAGAATGGATATCCTTCAAGGGCATGAAGACATGGACACCTCATCGCATAATTCATCGTAGACTTTAATAAGGTCATTGAATTCCCCACTTCTTACTGTGCCATTCAGTCACACCGCATAGATGCAACTGACAAGCAGGATCCAATTGAGGGGTGTAGTATCTGTCCTAGGATGTAATGCTGTATCTACACATGCAAGTCTGCAAGAACAAAAGATGAGCCTTCATGAACTACAAAGATAAATTCTGCAGAGTCGTTGAAGTGGTAAGATAGAGTGCTATCAAGTGAACAACCTTATGTTTACATGTCTCAGAAACACAATATACATTCATAGAATCTGAGCACTACAGCATAGTATAACTGAGAGAATTGTTGGACCCCAGCTAGTATGATTGTGTACAAAAACCTGTGGAACGGTGAAGATATCATCAATGGAAGATCGTCCAAGTCTGAAAACTGTTTGGCTTTATCAAGCTGCAGTTAGACGTCAGATGAGTATGGACACTGGGAGATTAGACACATTCTTACCCCATGTGGTTATC